GTAATTTTCGAAATTAAAAATTGTTCGCTGAAAATTGGGCCAACACCAACTTTTTAACCGCTCTTTGTAACATATGAGGATAAAATTGAAAGAAAAAATTGGAACCGATTTGAGAAAAACATTATTTTTAAAATGCTTATATTTCGCGCAAAATTGGGCAAAGATTATTCATAATATCGAAAACGAACTTTTTGAAAAATCAGAATTCGACGAAAATGTGACTTAACGTAATCTTAGGAAAAAGGTTTAATAAAAAAGTAACACAATTTTTAGAGCATTTGATATTTTTATAATTATTTTATAATTTTTGTTATATTTTTTACAATTTTAATAATATTTACAATTTTTTATAATTTTTATAAAATTTTAGACTTTATGCAAACTACCCCACAAAAATCAAAATACCCCTTTCAAACACGCAAGGATTAGAGTTTGTTCCGATCAAAAGGGAAATGTAGTTTTGAACAACATCCTGTGAACAGTTTAGATGTTATTTTTAACACGGACGGACGGACGGACGGACGGACGGACTGGCGGACGGACGGGCACGTTTTGCCCTCAATCATCGGTATCAAACACCCACAAAGACCACAAAGAGGAACTAATTTACTATACCAGGTTTCCCATTTAATTTGACAACTAAAAATAACTCCAAAAAAATACCTATCGTACAAAAACATGTCTCAGACAAAATCTGAATATCTCTAAGGGGTACATCTGCCTGACCTAAAATTGTACCTTGCGCCGTCCCGTAGGAGTGGATGGGGACCACTTTTGAAATGTTAAACGGAAACCCCCATTTTTTACTGCAGATTTCGAATTTACACTAAGCAATACATAAGTTGTCTCCACCAGGGCCCGGCGATAAGAGTTTTTCTGTCGGAAAATAGCCAATTGCCGCCACACGACACTATCCTTCTTCCTTACTACGTACCATGTAAATTGAGAAAGTAAGAACGTCCCTGAGTTCCATTTCCTGCGCTTTTGGCATCAAAATGTATAAACGCCTTATCTTCATTCATTTTTCTCGCAAAAGTACTATTAATAATTTATTCTTAAAAATGCGCATTCTGGACGTGTCTCATTTGTGCGTATGTTTAGTTGTTAAAAAATAAACAAAGGCTCTTGATGTTCATTTCTCCGAGTGGGATGACAATACCACATGAACGCGTGTGTCGAAAAACACTGACGACTTGTAATTGTTTTAAAGGTAAATTAAAAAATATAATAATTTTAATAAAATGTGATTCCGCTACTATTTTGTGTTTCGCTCAGATTATTGATTGTTAGTTACTATTCAGAGAAGAAAGAGCGTGTGATTGCAGATGTGATGTTTATTTTTTTCAAAATAGAAGACTTAAAAAATAATAGAAAGTATAATTCAAATATTTAACTTTTCTAATTCTATTCACTCACGAAAAATCTGTTTAATAAATGATAAAACATAAATGATAGAAAGGCGCAGGAAATTTATTACGGTAAAACTGGAATGCATATCGAAAAAAAAAAATTAGGTGTAGAAAATCTCAAACTAGAATTTGAATCCATGTCTTTATGTTCACAGGAAACACATCACACTTCCACGATGCGTTTAAGGGCAGCTCGGATGTCGGCAGTTATGCTTTGGCCTTCTACTCAGGGCTGTTCGCTTTTGGCGGATGGAACTACCTCAACTTCGTCACTGAGGAGTTGCAGGACCCGTACAGGTAGATAACCGAATGCTTTGAATCTCTTTTAGAAACAAACATATGGAAGTCTCCGCTGCAATCAGTTGGAGAGGAACAGACACACTCACATGCCTGTTTGCTCGTGCTAATATTTTCACGTATAATTGACCATTAAATGAAGAGATCTATGACCTATATATTAATGATTACATTTTTAATAATGTTTTTATTTCGGATGAGTTCGATACCAACCAAATTAATGTACTATCAAAGTACAATAATTTTCTAGAATACTGAACGGTGAAAAAGATAAACGATAGTTTCTGCTCTTCTAACGGGCGACATTCTATTGTTATGATTAAGTAACATATGGCACATCATGGTCCATAAATTCTGCGAGATAACTAAAACAAAAGAATAACAGAAACTGCACAAATATGCATAGGAGAATATTGATAGAATGCTACGTTTCAAATGTTAGAACAACAAAAGATTTCAATAAAAATATTTTGTAAGCAAACTTTAAACACTAATTTACAAAGAGACCTTGGAAGAGAGTAAGTCAACAAACATAAGCAGTCTGTTTTTATAATTTATCACTTCAGTACAAAATTATAGTTATATCATATTGCAAAATATGCTTTTCAAAATGCATGGTCCATCGTTACTCATGCTTAGTAATATATCTGTGAAAAAAGCAAACTACCTTAAATTGTTTCTTCCTCCTGTTGACCACTAACGAATCGACGGTCCCTTAGGGCTTTATCTGGTCCAAACAGTTCGTAATCCGACGGGGGCGATCGACACTATAACCAAGATGCTCACACAGCTCGAAACCCAAAACCCAGATTCTGCACAGTTTGATCTGTGTGGACGGCGCACGCCGCCTACAATCAAAGTAGTCCTTCCGACAATGAAACTTGGAGTTGTTGCGAACGGCAGGATACAACTTGTTGCACGACATATCAATGTAGCGTGCACTCTTCACTACTGAACCGTTTAAGGGTTACGGGTTCTCAAATTAGCCCTATGATTCCTAGACGTTTTATGAGATTCCTAGAAAATATGAGAGCATTACTTTTCCTGCATCAGGTTGACATTTGAGATTTTCTAGCCTAGGATATTGGAGTATTTCCATTCTTTTCTCTCACGTTTGCTCTCTGGTTTGAAGTGAACTTAGAGTGCGAATGTGTGGTCTCCAGTGAATTGAATCAAACAAAAGTAACCTCAGTAGATGCTCCTGTCCGTGCTGACAGATTGTACCACCGAATCCTTTTGCGAGAGAATATTCCGGGAACGTCAACTACTCGGTCATTCGATCCGTAAGTGTAGTGCACGTTGTATCCCGGGATGTGGCGGTGTTCCTCCCGTGCTGGGGCGCGAGATCCGGCGCCGACCTTCACGTGTTTATAGGTGTTCCTGCAAGGTATCGCCATTTCCGTGACAAGCACCCCACAAGACTCCTGGCACGGCAGATAGTATCGTGCATGCAGGTGTAAATGTGTGTGTGTGTGTGTGTGTGTAGAGGGGACACGGATGAGAAAGGAAAGACCGCGCGCTGTCCATGGTTTGTTTATTGAGGTACTGCTCCGGCATGTGCATTGTGTTGGTGGGAGACGTCGGCAGATAGAATTATCCTTTAACCAGGGATTTCCAACCTTTTTTTGTTCATCGACCTCTTTTAAAAAAATTGTTGGCTCCCCGACGCACATTATTCTCTATATCATTCATACTCATAACAGCGAATCGCACACACACGACAAAGATAATTTCGCACACCATAATTTTGATAATTACCTAGATTTTCAATAATCTAAGACGCTTTCGCTTCTGAGTAGCTGCGTTTCTAATCTTCATTGTTGTCGTTACAAAATGTTGACCACAATATTTGTCCAGGGTGGGTGAATTGGAGAGAGTATTGTCTGCCGCGAGAGAGTATCGTTGTGAATACAATTTGTTGCGTTTCTAAACACCCTAAGCAGTTGCATATCTACGTTCTCTAATGCCTCGTTGCGGAAACTAAAAAAGGGGTCTCTATCTGCAATAAACGTGAAATTGAAGTTTTAAAATAACTGATATAATAATATGGCTGGTGCAATGGAGAAAATGAGTGGGGTGCAACTTGTTTTATTGTTTGTCAGTATCCATCCGCGGGGGTCTTATTTCGGAGGAGCAGTGCTGTGCCCCGGTTGCACCAGCCTACCTACACTTTTGATCCTGAAGGATGAACAGCGGATTCGAAAGAATAGCGCAATTTTTAATTTTTGTAATACGTGATGTTGCTTTATAGAACTATTTATCATTATGTTCATTTAAGATATTTTTTGAATCAATGAGATCTTGATTATACTTATCAATCACCGGTTCGTATTCGGTTATAGACGTCAATCAACCCTTCCATTGCCATTAACCTCTGTCAAAATTTCATCGACCTCCCCCCTGCCCAAGGGATCGATACCCCCCAAGGGAACCCCTACTCTAGACAACGTGCTCAGCGTTGTAGCTCGTGGAAGTTGCAGTTGTTGACCGTTGTAATTGTGGAAAACAAGTCTGGGAGACTCGAAACAGTCAACGTCGCAGCATATTCAAAGATCTCGCTGACTTTGTTTGGACTACCACTTCGCACGGCTGTTATGAAATGTTATTATGCATGTTTTCATATGCTGAAACACGTCTAGTATGGTTTTCATTTCAAGACTGTAAGGTGTGCCGTCTTCCATCGCAATCATGGTAAAGACTTGTTTAACACTGGCATCACTAGTGGATGTGGCTGGATGTCCTGTTCTTTCCTTATCCTTCGCGCTTATTCGGTCACTGCATACAAGGTATATTTCGCCGTGATAAAGCATTGTCGCCGTATTGTGCTAAGAGTCTTCTTTACATTTCAATCTTGGTACATCAGATGACCAAAAACAAAAATATTTAAAAAACACAGAAAAAAGAAAGAAAAAAAGAAATTAAGGAAGGAAGGAAGGAAAGATTACGAAACGCTGCTTTTTGAGCAAATGGAGTGTGTTACAACCATGTTTACTTCGCAAAAACGCGAAGAGAACTGAAGTGATAACAGAACAGTTAAAACTGCCACTTATCGATTTCCACGTACAATTAACCTTGCATCCAACTTACTATTGATTCAACAGAGCAGGAACATAATACATTTCCAACATTTTTTTTACTTTCTCGTCTTAAGAAGTTCTTTGTAAGAAGAGAAAGTTATGTAATAGTGCGCCGGAAATGGGATTTTTTAAAATTTTGCTGCAGTAAACTATATGTTCGTGTTAATTCACATTATCAACTATATATAACAAGAAAATAATAACCGAAAATTTAAAAAAAAATCAAAAATAAGGCCACTTAAATCATTTCGATCAATTGATTCAGATAGATATCCCCCCAAAAGGTAATTGCAAACCTGTGAGCTGTTATTCATTTTGAAGTCTGCGAACAAATTTCTTACTGCGAAAAAATACGTTTCTCCAACAACGTTGGGCGGCTGGCTTTAATTCAAGAACAGACTCTGCAAGAATGCTAGTTTGTTTTGCTGAAGGAGTTGACAATGACCAGCATGTCGTTAAAATTCACCTTCACGAAACTAAAGGATTATTTACAGTTAACGGAAACGACTTCTGCGCATCCACAAAAGACTGCATGCGCGGAGTCTCAATGGCGAGTGAATCGCAACACGAATAAAGTTCCTCCAGGAAACGCAGAAATAGCGCTCACTGGCAGCAGGCATGACGAAATGCTGGATTCTTTTCCGGAACGTTGTGGGTAAAATTGAAATTCAGAAAAAAACAAAATTTGCCTACACCACGAAACACATAATATTTTGCACGAGTGGATTGGCAAGTCGCTAATTTTTACCTTCCATTCTGGAAACAGCAAAATTCATCAACTATTGAAAACATGACGTTGAATCAACAAAATTTGCTTGCTCCAACCGTTTATTAGCAGGTCGTGAGACAAAAATAACAAGACAAAAGCTGTAATTTTAAAGGAGGAATATAGCAATGACTAACCCCTATGAGATGGACTTGAGCGGTCAAAAGGACTTGAGTAAAACATTTCCTAATTCTTACACAATACAAAAAACGTTGTAATTTCAATATTTCAAAACAACATATTTTCAACATGTTCCGCCACTTCGTTTCGACATTATTACAATTATTTAGAATTGTGTTTAATAATTAACTATTTTGAATTTGAAGATTTTTTTTAAGTCGTAATGAATTAACTGTAGGATGGCGACTTCTTCCTATTCGAACCGTGAACATAACGCTGTTATGTGACCTATTCCTTCTATTTGTCGGTTATGAGGGAGAGGGTGAGAGAATTCCCTTACACACGACGCCCCAATCTGCATCGGGGGAAGTGACGGGCAGAGACGATCGCGGCTGGTCTGGTCCCCTTTGTACAGTCTGCTTCTTCGGCATTCGCCAGAAAATGATCAGGAAAACCGCAGAAACCACCAATTTATTTACTTGTTATTTATTTAACATCGAAACCAGTTAATAACTGACAAACTATAGGGAGAAGATAATCTATTCACAGTTTCTTGAACTCTGGAATCTCAGTCCTAACTCTTACACATTGAGTTGGATTAGGAATACAGGTAGCATGAGAGTTTTTGACCAGACATTGTATGAAAATATTCTCTCATCTGTAATAAAAAAAACATTTGCAAAGTTAAATCACCTACAGATCTGAGATACAAAGGCGCCATAAACTCGCCGATGACTTACCACCACAAAGTCGTTAATAATAAGAAAATGTTTGTCATCTGACCGAGATTAAACGCGCGAACTCCCAATAAGAGGAAGACTCGACCACGATGCGCGCTATGAGCCGACAACTATAGCTGAGATCTTAAAAGAAAATGCGTGTTACCAGACCGGTTCGATTGGCTGTTTGATTAGTGATTCCAGGCGCGTCAACTGCTTACGTTATTATTCCCGTAAGTGTAGTGTTTATTTTTTCCGTGGGAGGTGGCAATTATCTTCCCCTGCTGTATGATCAGATCCGACGCCGATCTTCACGTC